TAAAGGTGCAAGTAGAAAGGCGGGGAGGAACTAAGAAAACAGAAGAAATACTCAAGACAATGCTAAACAGGGAGCTCTAGCTGCCAGGAAACAAAATCTAATAAATCCAGCTGCTGCTCATACGGAACATATTCTAAAACCGGTCTGTCTGTGCACGAAAGATAAAGACTGTGTGTGCACCCCGCTGACACACGCAGAGGGAGAATGGTGCAAGCGGTCTAAGATGAAAATGCCGCTAAGGGAGGCCACTTACCCAACACCAGGAGCTCCACCGAGTCCTCGTTCTTGCCCTCCAGGTCGTCAGGCGTGGTGATGACGCAGTAGTAGAGGCCGCTATCTCCCCACATGAGTTTCCCAATTTGAAGATCTGCATCTGTTATCACAAAAAAAAGGACTTGGTCCTCCATTCTGTGCTCTGAGAGGAAAACACTGAACGATGGAGGGTTGGAGGGGGCCCCCTTCCCTGTGTCTGCCGTGTTCTATTTCTTTACCTGGCTGCCAAGATGTTTGCTTTATTTAAAAACAAACAAATAAACAGCAAAACAAAAAGAAAAACTAGCATCCCCAAAGTGAGAGAATTAGAGCACGACCAGAAACGGGTCTAGTCCCAGTCAGGTTTCAGGAATAGAAGACAGTTTTCAACCAGGCCTGCAGAGGCCCCTGAAAGCCAAATAAATTCCAGAATTAGTCTGGCCTCCTGGAAATGAGCTGGCTTCACAGGAGGTCTTCAAAATTCAAAGAATCAAATAGGTCACATCAAACTTTGGACCTTCTCTTGTCCAAAGCTTTTAGGGAGCAGGAGAAAATGTGGAATTGGTGCAAAACTACCTGGGGCTTGGGCCATAGCATCTACATGCAACTTGCACACAGACATCCCTTCCCCCCGGCAGAGGAACTTAATAGAGAAGTCTGCTTTCTGCATTAGAGAAAGGGCAATAAAGGCTGACGTCAAGAAGTAAGGTATTTAAGAACGCTTTCACTACGCCCATTTCTATTCAGTTCTAATAATAAATTCCTCAGACTAGAGGTCAGGCTCAGGGAAGACTACTTCTAAAGCTCATCTCTCTGTCTTCTCTAGATGTTACAACCCTCCACCCTTCTTCCCCACACCATCCCATTAAAGCCATTGGCTAGGTTTCTTGATGCTCTATGTCCTATAAAATCAAAGTGTTGAGGGATTGAAAGGTGCAAGGCTGACATTCTCTTGCATCTGGGAAGAATGGAACCAACCTCCCTCTCATTCCCTAGATTCAAAACAGAAGCATTATTACCATGAACAATCGTGATCTCTCTGCCCCTGTAGAAATCTCCTAGGGTCACGGTTGAGCCCTGTTTGGAAGCTACCACTCGGACAGTCCTCCTGCTGTCTAAACAGTCCAAGTAGGGGTCCCATTCCAGGTTTCTTTTGCTGAGAGACTGGGCCCGGGGAGAGGACATGCCCAAGGATTCCCCCATGCGATCCTGGCAGTAGGACTTGAACTTCCACTGGACGACGGCAGGCTGATGGGACGACGTGGAGAAGTGGCAGCGAAGCACAGTGGGCTGGAAGAGCATGGCCACCTTCTTCTTGTCAGGCACTGTGACCTGAAGGGCCTCGGCCATGGCTGCAAAATAGAATGAACATGTCCAGATGGCATCCGTATCCTGGACCTCACCTCACCTTTCCACCTTACCTCCCCAACCTGTTCCTCCCCTTGTTTTCTCCATTACAACTCAGAGCATCAACATCTACCTGATTGCCTTGGCCAGAAAGCTGCCCTGACTCCCAATATCCAAATGGTCGCAAAGTCATGTCGACTTGATCTCTTAGCATCTTTAATACTTCCTTCCTCCTCTTTAACCCCACTACCACTGCTTTTGTGTAAACCCTCTTCATTTCTTGCTTATAACTTTGCAATAACCTCTTGTCTGGTCTCCCTGCCTGCAGCTGCCCATATGCAGCCCATTCCCCTTGCTGTAAGTTCAGGTTACCTTTCTAAAACTGACTGTTATCACTCTCCTTCTTTGAACCCTTTGCTCAGCCTCCATGGTCTTCGGGAAAAAACCCAAAGTTCTTGGCAAGGCATATAAGGTGCTCCAACATCCGCTTCTTTCTCAGCCTCACTTCTTGCAGCACCTCTACTTGCGTACCAGCCTCCAAGGATACCAAACTAAGAGGCTCCCAAGTGGGATGTGCTGTCTCACTTCTCTAGGTCTTGGCACAAGAATGTTCCTTGTTTACAGAATGCTTTTTCCTCACTTCTCTCCCTGGGAAACTCTTTTCCATCTTTCAACATGTAGCTCAAAAGCTTCTTGTAAAGTCTTCTCTGACCGATCAATCCATTTGTCACTTCCTCCTCTGTAGCATCAATACCCCCAGCATTCTCCTCCAGACATTTACTGTAATAATTTTGCAAGTACTTATTTTCATGCCTCCATCAGACTTGTCAGGTCAGGTAAGGAAGATGTCTTATCTTGCTGTCTTGGCTTGTGGAGCCCATAGCTACTCAAAAAATATTTGATAAATGAGGACAATGAAGCCAGGAAGTATGACTTCGGGAGGAAGTGACTTCCCTTCCAGCTAGTGAACGAGCAAAGGGGACAGAGATTAAGGGGGAAAGAAGGCTTTGAGAGAAACAGAGAATGTCTGATCAAAGGTAGTAGACTAAGTTCAAAAGCTCTGAAGGGCAAACCAAAAAAGGAAGCGGGGGGGGGGATTGGCAGGGAGAGGCTAGAAAGCAGATGAGAAGTTCAAGTGGTGAAAAGATCAATTTGAGGCTTGGTGTCCAAGAAAGAGGGAAATTTCAGTGAATGAAAGACCAGGCAAGTGTCTGAGAGGCAAAAGCCTTCTATGAACTCAATGGTAAGACCCAGAAACTCCAAGCAAAGGGAATGGTGAATGGGAGAGTTAAGAGTTTCTAGCTTGATCTGACGTTAGAAGCAGAAGTAGAATGATGATGAGAGGCAGAAAAAAGGAATGTGAATAGAAAGACATGATAAAGAGGCTCAGAACTGAATTCAGGAGCCTGCCAAGTCAGCTTCAGGTAGCCTGAGGCAAAGCGTTTCACCCTAGAATCGCAGGTGGACTTAAGATATACAAGAAAGGACTAGTTTCCATGGGGGGGGATTTTTATTACTGCCCGTGTTCATAATGACATCCTGCAAAGCAAACTCACTCTGACAGCCCAAACGTGCCCTTATTCATGAATGTCTCTTTATAGCAGCACCCCTGACAAGGGCAAGATACCATATTTGTACTCACGTCTTCTGATCTCCAGACCCGTGCCACTCTTCAGTGAAAGCACTATGAAAAACTAGATTCTAATTCCTGTTAGGAAGGAAAAAGGCTTCTGCATTCTATGGAATGGGGAAGCGAATGCAACAGAGTGTTTAAGATTTAGTGTTCTGGACCTACCTGCTCAATAGCTACTATGGAATAAACGAAGGATTGAGTGAGCGAATGAATGACCATTAATATGGGGATTTCTAGGACTGTGCAGAGCAAACGGGTTAAATGACTCATAAACAGCACAGTGTGGTAAAACAGTTGGCATCAAGCAGACAGGGCTTTGACTCTCCTCCGGCCATGTACTAATGGTGAAGCCTTAATGGAGCCTCTTCAGTAACCCTCACCTGTAAAATGAGCCTCATATTCCTTACTCACCAGAGCTGATAACACATGTTACCTCACTGGGCGCCTGCAGAGAGTGGACTCCATAGCAGAGGACTGTGACCATGACCAGCGGAGGGTGGATCTCAAATATGAATCCTCTTGTACCTTCCCTGCCTTTCCCGTCACCTCCCAAGATGAAACTCTTGAATCTCAGTGATCATCCACCACCAGTAGGTTTGATTACAGCTGCATTATGCAGCTCACCCCATCAAGGGGCAAATAATGAGTTTTCATTTGGAAGCTCAGAGAAGAACCCCAGTTCCCAGGCTCCACTGCTTCCATTCACCACCCCTCAAATGTTAATGTGGCTGATTTCATTCTCCTCAACTCACTTGGATAAGAAGACATTTTTTTTTGCATTAAATTCTATTGCATTAATTTTAAACCTTGTAATTTGTCTTCAAATCCTTATTCACACACATTTTCCAGGTAACAAAAATGGGACAGGGTGGGGGGGGGTGTGAAATGACTTCACTTAGCAGTGATTGAGGCTGGATAACCAATCACAGGCACTGTTCCAAGGACAAAGCTGTGGAACTGACTAAATCACCTTTCTGCTCTGCTCCCTGCCTGTTCAGGCTCCGCACGAGAATCACATTTCCCAGCCCTTCTAGGATAAATGAAACCAGCAAAGGAGGCAGATGCAGCATTGAAGTGATGCAGGCAGGGCTTGTTTGGGTTATTTTGAGAGAGTTAAGTATGCAGTTTTGTTCATCAGATGATTAGAAAGAATAACCTCCTTCTCAGCTCTGTTCTCTGTTAATGAGATTAGCCACTTGACCAAGCCACTGGACTCCCTTAATTATTATTTTTTTCACTGTGGACTCCCTTAATTATTAATAGAGTTTAGTCAATTTGCAGCTCCTTCTATGATATACATGTAAGCTCATACTCCAAAGAATACATTTTCAGAAACATCTGCCTTTTGATAGCATGACAGTTAAAGGCATGGCTCTAGCATGAGTCCTAAGTCAGAAACTAAGCCCTACCACTTCCTAGCTGCATGACCAGGCAAATGACTCAGCCCTGGTGAGTGTCAGTTTCCTTACTGGTAAAAACAGAATAATAGTAACTGTCTTATGGAACTGCCTGAGGGCTAAATAAGATTTTATCCTGAATACTTAGGATAATACTGGCATACAGTAAGCACTCAATACAGGTAGTTGCTGCTGCTGTCAAGAACAGTCTGTTACTTCTCTGAAGCCATGAACCTACAGCTCGGTGAGCACAGATAATAAGGTGTAAGATGCTGAGTGTATAGAGGGCAGAATGGGCAGAAACTGCACGGGAATGCTACAGCAGGTAACTAGTTCAACAGCAACCCTGCCCGGGTGTGCGCGTCACTGCACAATCGCATATGCACCTCCCGAAGTCAGAAACAGAGGGTACCCCTGTGTGTGTGCACACGCATCGGCATGCGAACGTGTGCAGGCAAAACGGAAGCCCTAGGCACCGACACTCAGGATAGCTCTGGAGAGCTGGAGAGGACAGAACTAGGAATTTCAAGGAAACATCAGTTTATTGGATCTTTGAGGACTGTAAGAGTGAAGAGTTAGAGAGAGAGTTGAAAATACCAATGCCTGCCTTGGCTCTACAAACCTCAAACTATAGGACAAACGCCACGACAGTTCCCAAGCCTGCCGTGGCCAAGCCTATTAGGAACCCTGTTCCCACTGGAGGGTGAGGTCTGGAATTGCTCTTCTGGCCCTTACCCTGGATTCCAGGGAAGGGCTGGGGTTCCCTAGACCCACTGGGCTGCATGTCTTTCCCAGAAGCTATGTTTATGTTACACTTAGACTGTGTTCCCATCCGGTTTTGCAATCTGTTGGGACCAAAGGCTTGCCCTGAGTTCCGGTCTGCTCGCCTGGGCCCTGATACAAGCCCTTTTTCCTGAAGATTAATTTTTGTTTCCGACGCCCTCACACGTGACTGATCTATACCTGAACCTGGGATGCAAAACACTGCAAAAACTACCTCTCATGGGACCCCACTCCTACCCCAGAACAAGCCCCCCATGGACACTGAGATTTGGCTGGGAACACCCTCCCTCTGACTCCAGTTCTCAAGGGATCTGCCCTGGGACTAGGTTAATGTCCTGAGCTTGCATCCCACCTCTTATCAGCTTTTTGTTTTTCTATGTCACCACTTGTTAGATGCCAAAAACATAGTACTTCTTATGCTACAGTATATATGAGCTAATAAGAATATCTTTGAATGCCAGGTAAATAAACTAAATATTTTCAGCCTCTTTGTAAATGGTCACCTGTGCGTTCAACCTAAGAAATCTTACTCTTCCATGATGCCAACTACCAGTTATGTCTCTGACCCCCAGCTCCATGAAACCTCACCTGCATGTTTAACAGATACTTCAAACTAAACATAGAGAAACTTCATTCACCACCTTCTATTTTCCTGCCTCAACTCTTGCTTAGAAAATCAGCCTTCCTGTCTCCCTATCTCTTTTGCCAGTATACCCTCTGTCCTATCACCCCAGAGAGAAATTGTAGCTTTGATCATTTCCTCTCTGTCTCTAACCAGCTTCAGTTGGTCACTAATTCTAAATCTCGCTCAAATTTGACCTTCTCTGTTTGCACTGTCACTCCCAGTGGGAATAAATCCAGTTTCTATTCCTTCTACTAGGTAACAATTATGAAATGCTCAGTGTATTCTAGAAATTGTGTTAAGCACCGTTCATGTAGCATCTTAATAAATTCTCTCCAAAAATCCTATGAAGTAGGTATTATCATTACAACCATTTTACAGATGAACAAACTGATTTTCAGAGAATGTATGTATTGTGCCTAACATCTCAGTGTTAGCAAGTGACAGATTTGAACCCAGGCTTGCGGCTCCAAAGCTCTATCGCTTTACACAAGTCCTCATTATCTCCTGGGTTTTATGACAGCCTCCTCAGTGGTCTCCCAACTTCCAGCCCAACTCTCCCCATTTTTT